CTGCTATCAAAGTTAACATGCTGAATAACTTCCAATCGACCAATTTGATTAATCTAATTTCACGCTCGTAATCGCGGCTCTCCAGAATTCTGTCTCAGGCACGTTTCTGCCGTTTCATGCACCCCGCCTAATAAAATAGACGATCTGGTATCGATTAGGAAAAAAAGATAAGTTAGGCCTTCTCTTTAAATTTTTTTTTACCAGAATCATTTGGCCAAACTGTTTATTTTGTGGATGGTATAATTTGTGTAGTCAGATATTTGTAACTCACCTGAGAAGGTGAGAGTATGCTGGTTATATTAACTGCTGATTCCTCTGTAGACGGCCATTGGGAACAAAATTACAATTTAGCATCCTTGCGTACAGGTGACCAAATCTTCAAATGACAGACTTCCTTCCCAATGGAAAGTGCAATGTATTATGTGAATAGATAAAATTGGACGGTGGTATTTTAAAAAATCTTTGCTCTAAAGAATCATAAAAGACAAACTGAAAACATTCAAAAGCTTCCTTATAGATTAAGATTTTTGCAATTCTGGTCCCCGGGCCCAGGTGGACATAAGATGAGGTCATTAAAAAAAGAAGAGGAATACGGATTGAAGAAATCCTAAAAACTCTTATCGAGAACACCACAAGGATCACAATCATCCAAACTGATAAGCAATCATCCTAATGTAGTATGGATTTAATTTAGTTCAATCCATGCACGTCCCTTGTCATATGTCACATAGCATCGCCATATATCTCATATCATTGTCATATGTCTCATAGCATCGTCTTATATCTCATATCATTGTCATATTTCTCATATCATTGTCATATGTTTCATAGCATCGTCATATATCTCATATCATTGTCATATGTTTCATATCATCGTCATATATCTCATATCATTGTCATATATTTCATATCATTGTCATATATCTCATTTCATTGCCATATATTTCATATCATCTTCATATGTCTCATAATATTGAGGTATATCTCTTATCATTGTCATATGTCTCATACCTTGACCTTAGGATCTCAAAATCAATATAGATCTTTTAAGGTTATGAGGAGTTGTGATATAAAAATTTATTGCAAAATTTCAACGTTGACCTCTGGCCTTTTGATCTCAAAATTGATAGGGTTCTTCTTACCTGTAAGGCCGTATGGAGTTATGATATAAATTAGCTCAAAGAAAACTTAAATTATCATCTGGAAATTTTATTTGCAATGTATGATTTTTGACCTTGCCCTTTGACTGTTTGACCTTAAATTCAAAAGAGATCTTGTTTGGGCTATAAAGAATTGTGATATAAAATTTCATTACAAAAGCTCAAAAGATTTTACATACATTGAAAAGAAATGAAGGTGTTACACACAAACAGAATGAGTGAATTAGTGACCTTGACCTTTGACCTTTTTGACCTCAAAATCAGTAGGAGTCTTCTTTAGCTATAATGAGTTGTAATATAAAATTTCATAGCAAAAACTCAAAGGCTTCTTGAGATATCACCCGGAAACGAAAGTGTTACACACAGATAGAATGTACGACTTTATGCATATGACTTTAAGCTTTGTGCTTCTGACTTCAAAATCAATAAGGTCTCCTATAGGCCACGGAGAATTGTGATGTAAAAATTTCATAACAAAAAAGCTCAAAGTTTTCTTGAAATATCGTCCGGAAAGGAAAGTGTTACACACAGACAGAAATACAGACAGACGGACCGAAAAACCCAAATTAATATCACCCACTTTCGGTGAAAGCGGGAGACAACACTCCCCCCCCCACCCCCCACCACCACCACCAAAACATTCGAGGGACATACTAGTTATACATACTGGTTACAACACTCATATGAGTCAGATCTCTTCTTGACCGGTGAATGTATAAATAAAAAGAAACCCTACGTAGGAACTGTTCTGAAGAAATTTGAATCTTCACTTCATTGGGATGCTTGCATATTAATTTTAGTAATTTTTATCTTATGTTTCTTTAAAAAAAGATTTAAAGACTTTACCTAAATATTCCTAGGTACGACTTTGTCCCCATCCCTTTGTTTTCTTGTCCTGTTTCGGGGGCCTGTAATATGAACAACGTTTAATCTAACTTTTTAAGAACGCTTTTCTTCTAAAGATGTCTTTCCCGAGTTCATATTTTTTGAAAGATTTTCAAATGACCCTTCTTTATTTGATTATCTCAGATTACATTCGCATCTCCTTTTGAAAGGGCACATGAATATCATTAGCCTTAAGAAAATACCTTTGTATTAAATAAAAATTCTTGCATAATTCTCTAGTTCTATTTACCCCATTATTTACAGAAATTGATTATCAAAAGTGAATGGCAAAGGGGAAGTATTTCTCTCAGTAGAATACAAATTAATGGAGTCCTTGCCAGGACCAGAACACTTGACAAATGGTCCAGATGTTCAAAAATCAGGTAAAAATACCCTTATTTATTAAATATTTTATTCTGTTTCCCTCCAATATGCCCAGGAGCAGAGAACATTTTCAAAGAAATAATGCATTTTTACTACAGATTAACACAGCCCCACCCTATTACCAGAACCCATGACCCACGGTCATGAAATTCACAAAAATGGAAAAGGTACCCTCATCATTATAACTATGCACTTCGTTGAAGATTTCCAAAAGAATGAACACATTTTCACTATTTAATCAATAGAGCCCCCCCCCCCCCGAGAATCACCACACCCCCTGACTCTGGGAGCACAAGTTTTAAAAATTTTATAAGAAGCGCCCTTGTTCATCATAACTATTCACTTTGTCTGCTCAAAACTGAGGAGCAGACTGGATTATTTAATAGAATTAATGCATTTTTAATATATTATCAATAGAGACCCACCCTTACACCAGAACATCTAACCCGGGGGCCATGAAACTCACAATTCTAAAGAAGCTCTATTGCTTATCATAACTATACACTTAGTTTCTTTGCTTTATAACCAGGAGCACAAAAGAAAATTTTAAAAGAAATTAATATGCTTTTTCACCATATAATCAATAGATCCCCCTTTCACCAGAACCCCCAATCCTGGGACCATTAATTTCACAATTTTAGAAGAAGCATCCTTGCTTATCATAACCATACACTTATTTTGTTTATATAATACCCAGGAGCAGACAAGATTTTCAAAGAATAAATGCATTTTCTCTATATCACCAATAGAGCCCCACTCTAACACCAGAACACCTGAACCAGGGGCCATGCAATTTTCAATTTTGACAGAGGCACCCTTGCTCATCATAACTATGTACTTAGTTAGTTTGTTTAATACCAGGAGAAGAAAGAAGATCTTCAGAGAAAAAATGCACTTTCACTATATGATCTATATAGCCCTGCCCTAGTGCCATAACCCCTGACCCTGGGGCCATGAATTTCACAATTGTGGTAGGAGGGCTCAATGCTTATTACAATCACACCGACAGTTTGACTGCTTGATGTGCTGGAGTAAAGAAAAAGATTTTTAAAGATTGCATTAATTTTGGTGGTTTTAGCCCCAACTCTCAGGATCCAGGGGGCAGGGACCATCAAATTCACAACATTCCCCTTCACCCATAGATGCTATTTGCCAAAATTGGTTGAAATTGGATTAGCAGTTCCAGAGAATGTTAACGCACGACGGAGTACGCTCGACGACAGACAAAAACGGATAACAATATGTCATCTGAGTGACTCAGGTGGCCTAAAAAGACGGAGCAGAATAATTGAATTCATTGACACGGGGCAGTTAATCTCTGCAATGTAACAGCAAAACCAACTCCACCTCTACCCCTAACAGTAAACATGCGTCATTATAACTGATTAGCATTAATATTAATGAAATCTTTCAAAATTTTGAACATATTTTCTTTAATTTTCTGTAAATTATTAGATATATATCTGTGTTTTAGATTCCTTTTTTTCTTCTGAATTTTTCTGAACTTAATCGAGATTTTCTCATTAGATATATAGAAATATAGGTTTCAGTTGCATGGGATCTGTCCTCTGTGTTTTGTTTTCTGTGATTCTTGTTATTCAAATCTCTGTAAGAATACTTACACGTGAGTTTAAAATTCAGAATGAAATTTCTGGAAATTTAAACTTCAAAAATTAAAAAAAAAAATTCAGCCAAAATCATCAAGTAGAAGTACTTGTACAATTTTTTGTCGAGAATACAGGTACATTTAATTTGGATTTGTTTATCACAGATCTAGAAAATAGAATTTTAAACTTTGTCATCAGCGATTTTTAAAATCATTTAAAGAATCAGCAACCATGCAGCTAACTAAAGAAGCTCCTATGACCCCCAACAGCCCTTTTTATCTCGTTATTCTTTGGGATTCACTGATCTTATTTGTATAGCAGTCTAGAAAGTTGAAACGTTAGCCTAGTAGACTGTTCCCATACCAATAAAAGGTATTTTTCTCTGAAGGCTATCAAAAACATCAAATAAAATTATAAATGATGCACAGGAGATTTAAATTATATTGGCTTAATGGAGCTAAATCATGGCGTAATCCACTCTCCGACACACGCCACGGGCTAGTACATTGTCATGTGAATATGTATAAAGACGAATTACATGTAATAATTATTCATGTCAATACTCACAGGTTATCATACAGCGATTTGCGCGTGCTTGTTACAGGCAAACAAACAATGGAAAAAGCATATTGTTTATTGATTTATGCACGAAGGCACATTTTTATCCAATTCGCCGAGAAGAGCTGTCAGTGTATTAAACAAAGCATATGCTCTGTACATTGTATAGACTAACGGTGAGATTTATGCTTACAAGTTTTTGTGTTTGTATAGATTTCTGTTTAAACATGTGATTCATACGAATCATCTTTTCCTCCTTCAATTTCAAGGAGATGAATTGATGGCAATTTATTTCCGAAGGTATATTAAACACAAGCACATATCTGACAAATATGTATAAATACCACACATATTTCCAAAACATAAATGTCCTCGTGGTGACTGCACTTTGTGTTGTAAATCACACATCTTCTATTGGAATTTACGTGAGTTTTCCTTCTGATTTCTATAGATCGGTAGAGCTGGTTTTATAGATACTCGACTTGCGCACGGGGTCAGCATCAGAATCCTCAGCCAATGAAAGGGATCGAGCAGCTCATTCATAGAAAGACACGGACGTGCTGTGGTTTACAGCTATCTTTGCAGAGGGTGATTTAACATATGTAACCTGTTGCGATTTAATCCTAGTCAACTTTGAAGATGCCTTCCTCCTTGCTTTCTCATACTGCATTTGAACAAATATTTTTATATTCTTGTGAGTTTAAAATATCGCAGTGTCGCGTAAAAAAGTGAAAAAAGATATTTTTTTAAATTCATAAAATTTTGGAAATTTCAATTACAAAATGGACAAGAACAATTCAACAGTGGCGGGACACGATAATTTTACTTTGATGCCAGTATGGCAACAGGTGGTGTTTATCACGGCGTATGTGGTGATGATTGTGGTGGCGGCCGGTGGCAACCTTGCCGTAATTTGGATTGTGATGGCCCACAAACGGATGCGGACCTTTACTAATTACTTCCTGGTGAATCTGGCAGTAGCCGATACCTTGATTTCTCTGTTTAACACAGCCTTTATTTCCACCTTCCTGATTTATCAGGATTGGTGGTACGGCGAGGCTTACTGTAAATTCTGTAACTTTATTAACATCTGTACCCTGTCAGCCAGTGTCCTGACTCTCATGTCCATTGCTATCGACAGGTGAGTCTTTGTTTTATTTATAAAACACCTATATAAAAAGAAACGTTACAGACAAGGGGTATTCTCCAAAACAAATACGTCAAACACGATTATCATGAATTGCATTTACTGAAAACGCAGGGCATAAAAAGTTGTTTTGAAATTATGTCTTGAAATGCTTTTTTAAATGCCGTTCCAAGAGTTTAAATATCATTAATAATTAAATTAAATCAAACGCAGAAATTAAGTGTCTTTGGTAAAATGGAAGTAAGACAGTAGGAGCTATATTTGAACTTGCAGTTAAAGAAAATTTCTTAGTTCAATTTATCGTCCATGCATGGGCTTTAAATTTCTTGAATACTTTTAAAACACCTTTTTAACTAAAAGTATTGACAATGATAACTGGGACTTTTCACTTTTAATTTCATGTTGGGACAAAAGATTAACTACTTTGAGTCCAAATAAGATACATAATACGATAGGGTGGCAGAGGGAGACAGTACTGTATACTCAAACACACAGCTTCCTGATCGAGAAAGTTAAAATTTGCTGGTCTCAGTCTATAGACGTAGTCCTGTTATTAGAATTGATAACGAGGTTGCAATGTCCGACAAATTGTATTCATTCTAGTCTAAATCCGAAGCTCACGATTTGTTGTGGTGGTATTTGTTGGTATTGGCAGAGGTTGCATAGAGCCAGAGAGTACTTACTATAATTAGAAGTCTTAATGTAAGCATGTCATTAAAGATGGTCGTGTCCGAAATATGATGACGAACGGATGACGGTTGTACGGTGATTCTGGGCAAATTTACATGAAGTTTGCATAATATGACTGTTAAATAAGTAAAGAAGATTGCCAGACGTGATGCGTTAAAAACTGTATATTCATATCTAAAACAAATGATGCAGTTTCTGTCCTCCATAATTCATTTCCTCATTTCTTTTATGTGTGTTTGTTGCTATATTTTGTAGAGCTGTATACGTCTCTCATTTATGTTATTGTATCCTATATTTAATTTTCCTTTCACAATATAACCTATGACGGTGTATTGTATACTGTACCTCATGTACCACTGATTGATGGTTTGAGTATAATAAATGTTGAACTTGGTATCAAAATGTCATTTATCAAAATTCTAGATATTTGTACAAAATAACGAGGCCTTTTTGTTTCTTATGTTTAGCACTACATCAATGAACTGTCGGTTTCCATTCCGGGTATGTCAGTGTTACATCTCTTTGTATTCAGGCCCGTAGAGGGGGAGGGGGACCCCCACTTTTTCGGAGTATAGTATTTTACTATAGTAAATTTTCCTTTAGATGCTGCATCCCCCCCCCCCTCACACACACACTTTTTGATGTTGGATTTGGACAGTAAATAAGCTTTTTTTTTTCATATTTAATTATATTTTTATTTTATTATTTTTGCTTGTCAGATAATTATGGGAAGTTGGCCCTCCACTTTTGGTAAATTCATTTTTTTTTTTTTTGCTTGTCAGAATTTTTTTAATTTGCCCCCCCCCCCCTTCCACTTTTAAAACCGTTGCTACGGGCCTGACATCGACACTAATATACCATATATTATATACTATATATTGTCAATACACAACTGTCAGTATAAAGTATAAAAGATGCTTGCAAAACAATATATTTTAAAATGATTTATTGAAGCTTTTTCGCTTCCATTTAAGTTTTTTGGTACTTTTTCTTAAACTGAAAGAGGATAGTCCCTTTTCCCTTGTTGTGTTACATATGAATTGAAATTATACTAAAGTATACATACATGCTATATCTATCTATCTATCTATCTATCTATCTATCTATCTATCTATCTATCTATCTATCTATCTATCTATATATATATAGATAGATAGATAGATAGATAGATAGATAGATAGATAGACGATAAAAAAAATCGTAGAGGGCAAAATTTTGACCGTTCTAGTCCCCTCGTAAATTATACTACTCATGTATTTTTTTTTCTTACCCATTGTAGTAACTGTCGTTAATCGAACATAAATACTCTAATTAACTATTATTTATCATGGTTATTAAGAACAGACGAGAGCCTAGATTCTCCATCACATAATCTGGCGATTACCGCGAGATGGCGCCACTGTAGGTGCTATGTTCGACGTCTGATTTTGTCAAAACATACATTTGGTTCGTGTTATGAAAGCAAATGTTTCTGTACAATGGTAATTACTGAGGTTTTTTTTGTAGCTCGAATTTTCTCTGAAGTTTATCTCCGGATATGTTATCTTAAAAAACAAATAAAACGAACACAAGGATCGTTTGTAACCAATTACATGTAATTCATTCAGGAAATAAAATGTAAGAAAAAGCCGTCCACTCAGCTAAAGATACGAAAACCCAGAAGTCTCAAGAAACGAGAACCAGATAATCTTTCAAAAATAATGTTTATCATTGTTAATTAATTTTTCTTATTAATGTAGTAAGATAAATTATTTAACCTAAATCTATCTAAAGATAAATTTGTCAGTAAGAATTTCATCATCTTTGCTCATCTAGGACATACATTATTTTCAGTGACCAATTATTTCTGCATGATTGCTCTGGAGACAAGGAAACACACCAAGAAATAAATGTTTTGGATACTTTGTGTCAATTTACCATAAATATTTTATAGAGAGTAACGCAGGGATTTTTGGAAGAAGGGATTTGAAGCCCGGATTCAATATTCTTTATATAATGAGAATGTTTCTTGGATTTTTTTTTTCATGCATGGTTCCAATGAGAAAATGACGACCCTGATTAATTTTCCGCATGTGCTTGCGAATGTAAATAACGTACTTTGGAAATCATTTAGAACGCAACATAAAACGAATATATACGTAGATCAATCAAACAAGAAATAAACAAACCATTAGGGATAAAGTGAAACTTGATTGAATATAAATACACAAATCAGGATTCTTTATACTAATATTACAAAAAAAAAAAATTGTCATTTTTTCTTTTTTCTTTCTTCTTTTTTTTTTTTTAAACAAAGATGACTTAATTTACCTCAAATCGAGAGGAAATGGTTCCGATACATTTGTGACATTTATTGGAATATATATATACAGATGTCGCTGTTATATTGAATTTGTATCCCCTAACCCATTTAACCATTATTAGGACTCTGGGTGAAACATTTATCATTTTTATACATTCCTCTCATTGAAAGTTCCATCGCTCCGTGGAATAATTAACTCGATCTTTTATATGTCAATGTCTTAATTCATAGAACGTGGCGTCGGAGTGTTTTGGGGTAATTTTTTCAAATTAATCTATGAATTATGTTTACAAATCTCCTCCCAAGGGATATTATTCCATAAATATTTCTTATTAAGTTTGTTTAAGTTCCATCTCACTAGGATCTTTCTTTGATTTCTCTGGAGAAAACATGCTCGGAAGAACTTTTAACTCATCTTGGTCAATTATTCAGTAATATATGAACAATAAGCGATTTCACAGATTTTTTTACCCCTAGCTTTTAAAAAAATAAGCTTAACAGAGGCATTTGCTAAAACCTCATACATTGATAATTTAGGTATTATTAACATTCTATTCCTATCTAAAGATTAGTTCAAAGCATTAAAATCGTTCGTGTAACTGAAATGTACGCATACAATATAATCTTTGAAGAAGAACCTCGATGAAGATTTCCAGAAAATACCAAAAAAAAAAAAAAAAAAAAAAAAAAAAAAAAAAATTCTATAAAAATAAAATTTGAATGTATTGGAAAAGGATCATAAATATAACTGTTTGAATTTATATTTTATATTATTGAAATATTCAAAAGCTGTGACAATGTTTACATAACAGTAATTATAAGAAACTACCTTCAAATATTTTGCACATAAAAGTTTGACATATTAATTAATCTGACACAGAACACCGTTTGTTTTCCGTTATTTACCGACATATTCGCACTAGGTGACAAAACACACTATTTTCTAGAATATTTCTTTTAAATTTCTTTTGTGAATTAATAAAAATGATAAAGTCTGAAAAAAATCTTTCAATTTGATTATGTGAATAAACTTTAAACCCCAACTGGTGTGTCTTTGAAAATGATTTTTATCAAGGACTTTTAACACTCCTGTGTGGATTTAGTTTGCATATCACCTTTAATCCCCAAAGACTATACCCATATCTGAAGACGAAATTACATCTTTGTCAAGTTCTTAATTTTGAATTTACCGAACATATTGTCATATTCTAAATTTTGTATTTATTCTAACCCGGTAAATTCAGAATTTAGAACATGATATATTGCAGAAAATTGGTAGAATTTTCTTTAGTTGAGAACCCTTTTCTATTGTTAAAATCGCTAATATATAAACGATTTATATTTGAATTCTGATACAACTCTTAAAATAAGAACTTTCCAAGGAGAAGCAGAAAAATGTCGAAATTGTATCCAATATGGAATATAAGGCATGTACATAAAATCAGTAAAGCTAGACCAATGTTGTGTATCGGAGTGTAATTAAAAATCAGGATGCAGCACTTCAGCCAAGTTAGCTATAACATGGAGTTATGCCTTTAGTCAGACAAACTTGTGGCTAATTAAAACACAAGAATTTTCCACGGAGTGATCAAAGACGATCGGAGGAAAATTAAAGGCGAAGTTCAGATCATCAGGTGTTAGTCTGAGGATACAACTTAATTATTACTCTAGCTCATTTAAGAACTTTTGTGAAGCTTGAGTCATTAATGAATTATACTTCATATAAAACTGGAACTGTGGTGTTCTGATCGACAGGAAGAACCCAAACTAATGAATCTCTGTTTTCCCCTTATTTTGGTGCTGTTGTATTGACGAACAACAAACAAGAGACACAACGAAGTGCTTAGACAACAAATTAAAAAAATTCTGATTAACAAAAAAATATTAGAATTTATATACAATCAGAATATCTGTATTGTTGTATCAGTATTGAATCTTTACTAAGAGTATTTTAACCTCGGATATAAATATTTAATTTTGTAATATGAATATTCTGCTCCGG